GGGACTCGATCCAGGGACTCCAGGATCATGACCTGAGCCGAAGGCAGTCACTTAACCAACTGAGCCACCCAGGTGCCCCAGCCAGTCTCAATTTTATAACAATAAGATATCAAATAAATATAAATAGGAACCATCTTCACTTCAACTTGGCTTACCCTTAGTATTTTCAAGATATCTGGCTTGTAAATATTGTACTTTTATCCTTTTCTGTAAAACAAGGTATAATGGTTAGCCAAGTGTTTTATAAAGACTTGTCAGTAGCTCAAGGTTTCTCAGTCTATTGAGATTCCTGTTACCTAAAAACATGTTGGTTTTGGTTTTAATTTTGTCTTCAATAAAGGTGAATTTAAAGATCCAGAAACAATGAATCTGACCATCATATAACCACAATAATCCTTCAGAGTCAATAGTGGGATGTGGATATGGTAGAGAAGAGCCTATGAAAGGGAAAGAAAGATGATCGTGTCTCTCATCCAAAACGGTCATCCAAGATGCAAAGGCACTCTTCAAATCAAGAAAGAACCAGCGTCCATCTAATTAGGATAGCTGAGGGGAGAGGATTGTGAGAAAGGACACTAACATTTGTTATACAACACCTACCAGACATTGGTTTCCAGATGAAGAAATCAAAGCTCAGGAAAGTCAAGTAACTTGTCTAAGGTGCACAACTAGTCATTTATGATTGAAACCAATGACTAACTCCGAATCCTTCCTACAATCCTATGCTCACTCCTGGGCCGAGAATGTGAGAATTTATGATTTGAGCAATCTGGATTTTTACCCCTGGGTCAACCAAACTACCCCTGAAACCTAGAAAAGCCTGGAGCTCTATTTTTTTTTACTTCCATACAGTGCAGTTCCGAACTAAATTGGGACAACTTTGTACTTGCATCTTACTAAAACTGGGACTAACACAGAGTGATTGAGTTGAGTAGGCTTGCCTTAGTAGGATAATCAGGCTGATTCCTTCTCTGGATGAGACTGGGAATTCCTAGAATCTGGGGAGAGTAAGGGAGAGTCTGGAGACTTCTATGTGTACTAGGAAAATCTGGGTTTGCTAAGAACTTGGCCAAAGACTTGGTGGTGTCAACTCCAAAGACAAATCCTCAGTTTCCTTGCAGTTACTGCTTGAGATTCTCTGAAGGATTGTTGCTGAAGGGACATCTGGTTGGCTCAGTCAGTAGACCACGCGACTCTTGATCTCAAGGTCATGACTTCTAACCCCACATCGGGCATGGAGTCTACTTAAAAACAAATTGTGGCTGTATGCCAGGATGTTTAGTAGGAAGCTCCTTCCTTTATGACATCACCAGGCAGGTAGCTAAGGGGACTATTTGAGACACTCAGAATAACAGCCACTTTGGTGGGAGTGCAAGAACAGCAGTGTTTAAAACTGAGGGTAAATTTCCAGACTTCATTAAGACCCTCGATACAAGCCAGCCAGTAAAATATGGGATCTACCCAGAGGAGCTCAGTGTATCGGATGGTCAAGACTAATAAAACTGGGTCCAAGGTAGCAGTTTCAGCACCAAAAGGGTCTGAGGATACTAACACAATTCCTCAGCGGGGACCAGGGTACATTCTTGCCTCGAGCTCACGAAGTGCTGCAGCCCCCATAAGCCCTTTGCCACATCGAAGATCAGAAGCTGGGCATCTCACCACTCTCTATTCAACATCAGACTATGCTCGATCTAGCTCCCCCCAGTCAGGGCCTGGCCTTGCTGGAACACCCGTCCCTCCAGGAAATGATACTCGATCAAAATCAGAAACATACCGCCATCACTCTCTCCATCGAAAGAGCCAGCAGAGTCAGACAGCTTCCCAGGCTGTCCAGATGCAGCGGAACGTTAGTCCATCCAGAGAGGAATCAACACGAAGAGGTGGTGAGAGCAAGCCAGGGCGTGACATGAGTAATCGCTACTCACTAATCCCAGATGCCAAATCCTCTCACCGGTTGAGTTTTGTAGACCAGAAGGATAACGTACAGATCTTACAAGAAGAAGACCCACCCTCCAAGGTCCAGTACCCACAAGGGGTCAGAGTTCCCCGTAGGACTTTAGTTTGCCCAAAGGATGAAGCAGTCCAAACTGAGCCCATCCGAAAGGGTTTGACTGCTTCTGATATCAGATCTTCAAGGAGACCCTCTAGCCCAGAACACAGCAGTGGCCGTGTCAATGCAGACTCTCGGACAGCCCAGAGAAGGATCCCCGGCCAAGAGTTTGAAATGAATCGTCTCAGCTCAATCTTTACAGAACCCAAGGCTTTGCATAGGAATATGAACATGGAGTCATCCCTCAGACTCTCTGTCCTTAAGGATTTGGATGGTGGACACCGAGTTCCTATACGTCCAGATCCTGAGTCTATCCGCAAACATTCTGTCTACGCTGACATCAAGCCCTCCCCAAAGGTCTTAATATCATCAGAAGTGGAGTCCAATCTGAGGTCCTCAACCAGAGGAAACAGCGAGGTTGGCCGTAGGGTCACCATCTCCCCAGAGGGACAGTTACTACATTCAGCATCCCGGGTGACATCTCAAGTAGTGTCTGAGAGCCCCCCAAAACCAGTGTTTGTCACTCCAGAGCACAGCTATAAGCAGCACACCCAAAGGCCTTCAGAAAGCCTCTGCATGTCCCCAGGACCCACCCGAAAGCACTCTGTCCACGCAGAACTGGAACTGACCCCTCGGCCTTTACCCCCTCGGTCCTTACCTAGGTATGGGCCTGATTCCTCATGGTGGACCTTACTCAATCCTGAAGTTGAAACACCCCAAAGCCGGCCGACAACACCTGATTCTGCGTCTAAGTCCCCTCCTCCCCCAGATCCTTCATTGTCCTTTTTTGAAATGGACTCAAGTCCTTCCTGTGAGGAAATGATGTTCCAGAGAGAGAAGGCAAGTCCCTCACCACCACCACCACCACTAGCATTACCAAAGGAGTCTCCAAACCAGGCATCATTGAGCGAAGTGCCACAGGCCCTCAAGTGCTCCTCCAAACAACCCATTCAAAGGTTTAGTGCTTTCTTCTTGGGTATGTGAAGAAGCAGACTGCCCAGGTGCTGTCCCGATTTAGTGAGGTGGGACATTGGGGTGGGCAGGAAAGGCCCCCCTTCTTCAATCTGGGCCTCAGAGCTGCCCTCCTGCCAGTGCTAAAGTTAGTCCCATCCTTGAACCCATTGCTCCATTCCTTCCCTGCCAGCTTCTCTGAGCTCCAAGCTAATGACTTTGGTGACAGTGCTTGGGCCAGCGTCAGGCATTGACTCTTCCAGGCAACCCTGCTTAACCTTTCAATGGAGGGTAGTAGAGAGTGGTTTGCAGGGTGGGAAGTGCTTCCCAAGAATGGAGATGAAGAACTGAGCTGGGTGAGGGCTGGTAAGGACTAGTAAAGAAAATAAGGTTCTCAGGCAAATATTCTGACAACAAAGTGGTGAAGGTGGGGCATAGATATGCTAGGACCCAGACTTCAAAGAAGGGAAAGGCATTAATAGTGGCACAAAGAGGGTGGAGAAAAGGGAGGGGGGAGTTTAGTCCTAGTCTGCAGGGGCTTCTTGGAAAGAATCAAGGGCTGAGGGCACCTTTGGGGGGAGAAATATGGAGCTAGAAAGGGAGATGTTAAGTAGTGGGGGGAGGGACGTACATCCCACAGAGTAAAAAAAACAACAATCTCTGTTACTTTCAGATGTCTCTGAGGAAATGTACAATCGTGTCATCTGGTGGCTAAAAGGTCTGTGCTTTTCCCTCCTATGGATCCATTGTAGGGGTCTGGGAGGCAGGAGGACAGGTGGGAGGGTGACCTCTATGTATCTATAGAGCTAGGGCTATCAAGACCGTACGTACTGGGGGTTTGACTTAAAGGAGAAGGGGAACTTCTTATCTTGTCTATAATTCCACCGTTAAGAGTCATTCCTTTGGGAATTGGAACCTTTTTCATTTTCAAGGGCCTCCTTTCAATGGGAAGTAGTCACTTCTGGAATGGAAAACAGTTTAAGCCCATGCCTTTCAGTTTAGCTGGACTTACCTTTCATGTGATTTTTTAAAAAACCAAAAAACAAGTCACTAAGACAAACTACCTGTTTCACAGTCTTCCTCAGGGCTAACCCCACACTAATTCAGGTTGATGAGTCTCCTCTTGTGTCTCTCTGGTTCTTCAGAACTCTCCTCAAGTCCCCGTAGCTAGACCTGGGAGGCATTGGCTGCTACCCAGCAGGATCTCCAGGGATGTCAGGCCTCTACCTTGTGGCCATCAGTGGGTCCTATAGCCAACTCTAGAATCCTTTTTAATTTTTTTTTAAGATTTTATTTTTAAGTAATCTCTACACCCAACATCGAGCTCAAACTCACAACCCTGAGACCAAGAGTCACATGCTCTACCAACTTAGCCAGCCAGTTCTAGAATCCTTAAGAGAAGTGTCCTCAGATACCCCCCTCCCACTTTGTTCCCTTGACCTCTCTGGTGGGAGGGAAGGTGGGGACCAACCCTCATTTAGTGAATCTTAGTAGCAAGGAGTTCCTGCTTTGAATGTTGTAGCCCAAAATATGCTTTAGTCTGTGAGCATGAGGGAGGCCAGGGCTCTGGATGAGGAAGTTCCTGGGGAGGAGAGAGCCCTGGGAACGCAATCCAGTCCCACCCAGCATAAGCCCTCCGAGTGATGGGCAGCAAAGAGCAGAGAAGGGCATCCCTGCCCCTCAGAGGGAGCAAAGCTCTATAAAGTTGAGGTTTAGTAGAGCATGGACTCTGGAGTTACACTATTGGGTTTGAGCCCTGTCTATTTTCTCACGGTGACCTTGGATAAGTTATTTTATCTTTCCAATCATTAGTTTCCCTATTAATGAGAACAATGGCAACCTCTTACGGTCCTTATAAGGACTGACCAAGCTACTACATGTACAGCACTTAGCATGGGCCTGGCAACAGTGAGCCCTCAGTAAATGCTAGCTGTTGCTATTTGGGCCACTTGCACTAGGAAGGATGCTGGGCCAGGTTATGCCCAAGTCCACTGGACATCTTTAGTAAAATTCTCTTTTTCCCCTCCTGTTGCTACTCTTTGAATTCCATTTGCTGCCCCCCTGGGAATGCCTGACTTCTACTTCTCCATTATGACAGATGAGGAGGTAAGAATACCCCTGGGAAGTTACTTCCAGTCTTCCTGTGCTCCCCCTTATCCAAGTCTCTCTCTTAACCTCTCATGGAAATAGGAATGGAGGGAGACAGACAGAACTGCTCCCTATGGTTGGGCAAGTTGTTCACTGCACAAGGGCACCTAACAGGGCAAGTGGGGGCTGAAATCTAGCCTGCGTTCCACTTGCCACGCTGTGCACCTGTGGGGCTGTGTCTCCCCAGAGGGAGATTTGCACGAAGGCCCTATATGAGCTGGTTGCAGCCCTGGAGAGATGAGAAATCCTGCCAAGTGCTCTGTGGGAAGGCTGTCTGGGAAGCCATACATTGGATCAGTCTCCACTTGGCTCTCCTCTCTCCAGCCTAGGGCACTCCAGAAAGGGAACACTTTTCTGGGTTACACACTATTTGAGTCCTCAACTTGGAAAGGCACAAGGTAAACTCTGCTCTCAGCAGCCCTGTGTCCTGAATTTGGCAAAGAGTGTCCTGATTTCATAGTGCATTGTTCCTCTAAGTACTTTAGTTCTTCTTGGCCCATGTTTGATAAGATAGTCTGAGCTTTTCCTGCCTCCATTCTTTCTCTTGCCCTATCTCTTCCTTACCCAAAGCCTAGCATGGATTCTAATGGGCCCCATCCATGGGCTAGCCCAGGATGGACAGTTAATTACAGATGGAAAACAAACAAGGAAGGTGGGGCAGGACAGCCTGAGCTCAGATAAGGAAACAGCTGAAGGCGGGGGGCAGGGGGTGCCAAAAATGTGGCTGCCACCCTCTCTGCCGTGGCTTCCTATTCAGCCCCGTGCTCTGAGCTCCACTGCGGGTGGAAACAGCCACTTCTAGAGATTACCTCTAAGCAAGACTCTTAAATCCTTTTCTCCCTCTTCCCCTCTTCTCTTCCTTCCTTCCTCCCTCTATCCTTTCCTTCCACAAACAACTTTATTCAGATGCCTAGCACTCTGCTAGGCACTACTTGGCGGGGGAAGCATTGAAACCTCAGAGCACACACATTCTTTGGCCATGAGAAACTTACCATCTGGTTGGGGAGATAAGACATGGGCAGGAAACATTTAAACAACAATATGAAATAGTTTGCGCTCAAATGTCCAAATAAACACAGCAGACTGAATATGTGCTCTTGCAGGATCTTAGGGGAAGGGGAGTCATCAGGGGATATGTGTGTGGTGGGGGGGGTCAAGTTACACCCTCCTATCTTAATAGCTAGCCTCTCACTCACTCCTTTGATGCACTTACATACTTTTGGGAAGGGGTTAGTGTTTTCCCTCAGTCAGGATATGATAGTTTTGACTGATCAAGTTCCTCCCTGTTCTCCCCCACCTTCACCCCCTTTCTTGGTGCATCTTGTTTTAGTTTAGGGAGTCAAAAGCCTTGGCAGCAGGACGGCTCTTTCCCAAAATAGCTCTTATGCTGTCTCGATAATTGCAGCTCTCCAGCCCTGTTCAATAGCAGGGCTGCTCCCCAGAAGCTGGGAAGAGAAGCTGGGGAGAGACTAGCTGGGCCTGCTGGTCTTCTCTGGCTCTTTGGAAGTGGGGTGGCATGGAGGAGGGCCAGGGACTCCTCACAAAGCGTGAGAGTGCTAGGCCTTCCCCAGCCTGACTTCCAGGCTGCATGGCCCACAGGCTATCCCACAATAGAGAATCTGTGGTACCTGTGTCCAAGGCCTCTGGTTCTTCTGATCTGGGAATGGTTGACTGTAGAGTCTGTTCCAGATTCCTTTCCTTGCAGGAATTCTCTGGTGGCCAGCCACAGCTCCTGGCTTGAGGACGGCAGCATGTTTGTTGTTGAGCTTCACAAGCCCTTCTGGGTCCACAGCTGGGGACAGAGCCTGATTCTACCATTTCTCTCTTAAGTGTCAGTCTCCTCCCAAGTGGCTCCTCAAGGCCCTTTTGTCTAAGGAGCAGGGCTTACAGATGCTTCTCATCCTTGGACTGGTACATTAGGGGCTGGAATCTCCCCAGAGAAGGTTATGCTGGACTGAGGGAAGCATTCCTAATGGCTTTGTTTTTGGTATCAGAACTAGCAGAAGCTCAACAGGAAGGTCCCCTATGGGGTCAGCTGGGACTGTCTTCTCACACAGCCCTGGGGAATTCCTTGGAATAAAGCAGCTCTTGATGGGAAGGGCTGCAACGCCCCTGATGGATGGGGCTGCCTTGGCCCCAAGATCCTTGTCCTCAAGGCACCTAACCTAATTGCCCTTGAAAATGACTTCTCAGGCTGTCAGCAGACAAGGTGATTTACTCCCTTCTATCTCTATCAATTATGCAAGAAACCAACTCTGGAAAGCAGGCCAGGAACCAGAGGAGGCCATCTCAGTGATACCTAAAGCAGACTGGTGTCTTTAAAGTGACATGTCATTTGGCCCCTGAGGATGGTATGGCCAGCGTCCTGTTGGCACTTGAGGCTTGGGGAAGTTTTGCTCAGGTAGACTCCTCGACAGAAAAATCCAGAGTCCTGGAGGAATGCAGGGATGCTCTGTGTTCATGGGGATGTTAACAGAATCCCAGGAGGTGGGCTGTCTGAAAGGAACCCTTGAACCATCTTTCCCACTGCTCTCATTTTCCCTTGCTTTGTACAGAGGCTTGTAGCTGAGAAGAGAGGGAATTGAAAGAATGGAGCAGAGCTGCTGAAAATGGGGCAGGGCACCTCGGGGGGCTTTTCATAGCAGCCTGACCCCTGCCACCCAGCTGCTTTTCCTGTCAGATGGTGCCTTGTTCATTTCCAGCTACCATGGGCAGTGGAGTCCAGAGCTGGATGGGAGGCTGGTAACCTCTGACCCACACTTGCTATTTTGGGGGACAACCTAGGTTGACCAACTCATCAGGGTTTGCCTGGGATGTTCCTGGTTTAGCATCCTGTGTTCTGGGACCCCTTCCAGTCCTGGGCAAACTAGGACAAATGGTGACCCTAGGACAGGCCAAGGTGCAGTGTATGTCAGCAGGAGCCCCCGGAAACACAGGGCAGGGGGATGACATCCTGCCTGCACTGTGAGACCTGAGCAGGTTGTCCCTCTGCCTATGAAATGGGGGCAGGAAAATCCTATGCCTCTCCCTTGGGCTTGATGGTGGAACTGAGACGAGAATCCCTTGGTTTTTTGTTCTTCTCAGAATGATCCCACATGGGGAAGAATCTGCCACATGTTATTTTGGACTTTCTCGTGTATTTCCTGAAGCCCCTTGGTCCCCTCTTGGAACCCATCTCCAACATTGTATCTTGCTGTCAGAGTAGCTTGGTGGTGTTTGAGATGGTGGGTTTTTCAAGTAAGACGAGCAATAGCAGGCCTGGGTAGATGAGGGAGCTTGGCTTCAGCAGGCAGGGAGCATCCTTGGGTGAGGAAGAAAATCTTACCACAGAAGCCACCCTGACAGCTGCTCAGCCACAGGAAGGTTATCCTGAGTGACAGAGATGGCCATGTCCCTCTCCCCTCCTCTGCTCAGCTGCCATGAGGGCAGAGGCGAGTGACAGCTGCCCTGTGGGGGCTGAAGGATCGCCTGGAGGAGGGGCACAGAATGTGAGGCAGTTCCTGAGAGAAGCTCAGGCTCTGGCCCTGAAGGTGGGAGGGCAGCACTGGCCAGAGTCACTTCCTCGGCACGCCCACCACAAGCAAAGTCATTTCGCTCCGGGAGTCTCCACAATGGCTGCGCTTGGGAATTCGGCTCAGTAAGTCTGAAACCAAGACCTGCTTTCTAGAGACTGGAGTGCTGTTTAGCTGGACGGGCTGA